TTTTTTTTTTTTTTTTTTTTTTTTTTTGGTACCGGGGATGGAGCTCGGGTCCTTGTGTTTGGGAGGCAGGCCCCAGAACCACTGAGCTAAATCCCCAGCCCCGTGATACTTTTTTTTTTAATGATACTTTTAAAACGTAAGTCACTTCTTGTCACTATATTTAAAATCTCCCAATACTTCCGCAGTTAGTTTTTTTGTTTTTTGTTTTGGTGACCTTCTTTCAACTCATTCTTTTCTAGCACCATTTGGCCTTTTTGGTATTTCAGCACACCAAGCATGCTCGTTTAAATCCTCTGTACCTGCTGTTTTTTCTCACCTTAATGTTTTCCCTAGATACTCAGTCACTTGCTTCAGTTCCTAGCTCACGTCTGTCAATAAAGCCTGTTACATCTGTAGCACATACTTAAAGTTCGCGCATACTCCTACTGATTATGTTTTTCTTTATAATATTTGTTATGGCATGTTATTTTTACTTATTTAGTGCATTTAAGCTAGATATAAGTGAGCAAAATGGTGGTTTAAAAACAAACAGGGCCTGCAGGTGTAGCTCAGTGACAGACAACATGTTTAGCATGCCTGAAGCCTTGGATTCAGTCCCTAGCACCAAAGAAAAATAAGCAAATCATCGAGGAATCAGCTTTCTTCTGAAATAAGGAATTACAGTGTTCCTTCTTAAAAAGTTTAGATTTCCTCAAAGAAAAAAAAATGTATACCTAGAAAATATATTGCATAATCAGTCTTGGATCCTAGATGATTTTCTTGTGGATAAAAGTAAAAGCACCACCACTGACCCCCCCCCCAGGCTCTGCTGGTTGGCCAGCATCCTATCCCGTTTGCTCCACAGAACCAGTTACTGAGAGTACTGTTAAAAGTAGTTCTAAGCACCTACTCTGAAACAAGGACTATGTTGTTTGCTATTTTTCTGTTTAGATAAGTTTGGGTGTGTTAAACTTTATTCTTTGAATATTGTTAACAGATCAGCAAAACGGTTACTGGACCAGATTGTTGAAAAGGGCAGACCAGCCCCTGGCTTTCATCATGGTGATGGACCTGGAAATGCAGTTCAAGAAATCATGATTCCAGCTAGCAAGGCAGGATTAGTTATTGGAAAGGGGGGAGAGACTATTAAACAACTGCAGGTATCGTGCTGTAAAATGACTTATTTTAGTCTACTTTGAAGCCAATTTTCTTCTCTTTTGATAATACATGATTTTTATGATTTTCACAGGAACGGGCTGGAGTTAAAATGGTTATGATTCAAGATGGGCCTCAGAACACTGGTGCTGACAAACCTCTTAGGATTACAGGAGACCCATACAAAGTTCAAGTAAAGTTCTCTTTATCCTTTCTAAAAGGGGTTGGATGTATTTGGGCAAAACATGCATGAAAAATTAAAAAGATTTTGAGGCATACTTTCTAAATTGACTTAACTTTTTCTACTTTAGCAAGCCAAGGAAATGGTGTTAGAGTTAATTCGTGATCAAGGTGGTTTCAGAGAAGTTCGAAATGAGTATGGGTCAAGAATAGGAGGAAATGAAGGGATAGATGTAAGTAAAAACACCCAATCATCTGATTGTATGCTAATCCATAAAGATAATAATGTTTTTCCTTTTTGGGATGAAAAAGACATCAGATTGTATACTCTTTTTTTTTTTCTTTCTATTTTGGATTTTTTTTTCATCGTGTTATTCTATTTGACATGAGCATAGCATTGTAGATACATGAGGTGATATAGGTTAATTTTTGTGATAATGGCTTTCTTAATACTTAGTCTTATTTGCATAAGGTCCCCATTCCGAGATTTGCTGTCGGCATTGTAATAGGAAGAAATGGAGAGATGATCAAAAAAATACAAAATGATGCTGGTGTTCGGATTCAGTTTAAGCCAGGTCAGTACATATGTTTAATCATGATTAGTTTTGATACACATTTACTATTAATTAATTAATCCAATTTGTTTCTTCATTTTAAAGATGATGGAACAACACCTGATAGAATAGCACAAATAACTGGACCTCCAGATCGATGTCAACATGCTGCAGAAATTATCACAGACCTTCTTCGAAGTGTTCAGGTTTGATTTAACATATTTCCCTCCATTGGAAAAGTATTTTCTTTAATGAAGTCTGAAAGTGCTTCCCTTGTACATTAGTCTGTTTTATAACGTGCATTGATGGACAAAAAGTCGAAATTGCTTTAAGACGGACAGCTTGGAGCGTTAAGAATTGCTACATATGTGCCCTGTCAATATTGACCATGCATTTTTTTTTTTTTTTTTAACGGATGTGTACCTGGGGATGGGGGCACATGCCTTTAATCCCACACTTGGGAGGCTGAGGCAGGAGGATCACTGGGAGTTTAAAACCAGCCTGAGCTATATAGTAAGACCCTGCCAACTCCTCACAATGTATGTATATATTGCCCATTGTTTTCATTGGGTGATCTCTGCAGTCGTCTCTAACTTTGTCACTCAGTACTATGGAGAGGTGAGAGAAGGTCTTGCTGTGTGTGGTACACAGTGTGGGCTAGCCTTGAACCTACTATAGCCCAGGCTTCCCTCAAGCTGGCAGTGATGTTCCTTCTCAGCCTTCCAGTGCAAATAGACATCAGTTTTACCATGGAGAGAAGTGTTTATTTCTATGCCGACTTGCTTTTTCCCTCCTTAGGCTGGTAATCCTGGTGGACCTGGACCTGGTGGTCGAGGAAGAGGTAGAGGTCAAGGCAGCTGGAACATGGGACCACCGGGTGGACTACAGGAATTTAATTTCATTGTGCCAACTGGGAAGACCGGATTAATAATAGGAAAAGGCAATGTATTTTAGACTTGGGGGTTTTGTTTTGTGTGGTCCTGTCCCATCCCATCCCCCAGGGCCTCACTCTAGTTCTGGCTGGCCTTGCACTCCCTTAGTACCCCAGGGTGGCCTGGAACTCGTGATCCTGTGTGCTGGTGTTACAGGCATGAACCACCACACCTGGCTTACTATTTTAAACTCTTAATGTTTAGCACCCTCTTTCCAGACACTGTTTCTGTTGGTGTTAAAAACAAGTGACACTGGGGCCAGGGATTTATTTTAGTGGCACTACATCTGCCTCGCAAGCCCAAGGTCCGAGTTTGATTCCCCAGTACAAAAAAGGAAAAAGTAGCAGTGATTTTTCTTTTGGATAAGAGTTCTTTTGTATCTGTTACATAAAAAGTAAATAAAGTAAAAGTGAGATTTGAATATCATTGGATTCTTAAGAAAGGGAATCAAGAGTTAATATATTGTTATAAGAAATTTTTTACTCAAAAATAAGGGTTTCTTTGTTACTCAGTCTCCTTTTGGAAGGGTGTGTTAATGGGCATTGACTCTAGTGCCCTAATGCTGAGCTATATTTGTACCCTTTTTTATTTTGAGACAAGTTCTTACTATGTCACTAAGTTGCCCAGGCTGGGCTGAAACTTGTGATCCTCCTGCCTCAGCTTCCTGAGTGCTGGGTCACAAGTGTGTGCCACCACACCTGACTAAATTTGCTTTCTCCTGAATCACATGTTTTAAATTTTTTTGCATGTTTAAAATCTGTTTTTTGCATGCAAAAACAACTTATTTAAAGTAAATATTTTGGAAAGTTGCCCATATTGAGATGTGTATAATTTTAAGTAGTCTTTAATGTATTTTAAATACGAACTGCTTCATGTAATTGGAAATACACAAAGTTGTAACAATATTGTCAGGATGCTGGCCACTTTTTCTTTAAGGCCCATTAAATTATGACCATTTTCTTTTGGCTAGTACTTCTTACATCCTTTGAAACTTTAGGGAAATAACTTGACTTTTGGTTTTCTTCTTAGGAGGTGAGACCATAAAAAGCATAAGCCAACAGTCTGGTGCCAGAATAGAACTTCAGAGAAATCCTCCACCTAACGCAGATCCTAACATGAAGTTATTTACAATTCGTGGTACTCCACAGCAAATAGACTATGCTCGGCAACTCATAGAGGAAAAGATTGGTGTGAGTGTGCTTTTAAGTGTCTTAACTTACAACAGGCCCTCTCCTTACATAAGGATTTAGTTCAGATACATCATAGTAATTGCAGGTTTCATGACATAATAGATACATGTAACACAGGAAAGATGTCTGGCTATAAAAACGTAATTAAACATAGAGCTAAAGATTTGGGTTCATGTAGATAGGAGGGTCGCATTGCCACAGACATGGTGTTAGGGTTAAGTAGAGGGTTGTGGGAGATAGTTGAAAGAATTACAGGGGTTGGGTCTATATGAAGGTCTTAGCTGTATCATCCCTGTTCAGATAAAAAATATGAAGTAGAGACAGCTCCCATCCTATAGTAGAAATGTATAGATTCTGGCTTTTGGACAGTCTCGCAATTGTCTGGGGATTTAATAATACAGACTAATTGGGTGTTTCTCATCCCTACATGCAGTATGACCACACCATCCTAATTCAGAACATCTGTAGATAATTTTTTTTTTCTTTTGGTACTAGGGATCAAACTTGGGTTCTTGCGCTTGCAAGGCAGGCGGTGGCACCATTGAGCTAAATCCCTGGCCCTCTGATTCAGAACATCTGAAGTCGAGCCTGGCATTTAATTTTGCAAACGTGAACCAGGTGATTCTTAGGCACAGTCAATTTTGTAAAGTTTTCTTGTGTAAGACAAAAGTATGAAAATGCTTGACTGTGCTGATTTGTAAATGAGGCAAATTGTGTTTTACTGGGTTTTTCTATAATGAAAAATTAATATGAGATGTAAGGGAGCCAGCATCTCAAATTACTACTAATAAGTAGAAGTTACTGAGAAGGTTTTCCTTCATGTTTCCCATGTATGACTGGTGTGCAAAAGAAGTCTGAAAATCTTTGCTTAAGAAGACAAAAATAGGTAACTTCTTTGCTAATGACAAGTATAATTGTTTAAAAAATGTGAACTCAGTAATTCCAGAAGATAATGGCCAAAGCCGAAAAAGGAATAGAACATTATAGTTACAGTTTTTTATTAGCCTTAGTGGCATGAATAAGTATACTTGGAAAAACCAGGTAAGTTGTTCTAGAGAACAGTTTAGACCATGAACAACTAAATCTATTTAAGCATTATACAGCAAATAGGTTTATTGAAACAACATGGTCCTTCATTAAAACGTACCACTTTTGTATCATTTTGTACCAGTAAACGTTTTTTCTTAATTAAAAAAAAAAAAAGAACGTGAGTTCTAGAGTCTGACTACTTGGCTTCAGAATTTAGTGAGTCATACTGTGTGGCCTTGAAGAAGTTACTTATTTCTGCCAGTTTCCTCCTATAAAGTGAAGAAAACAGTATTTACTTCATAGAGTTGTAGGGGTTAGATCAATGTGTTATACATGTATTTTGCTTTTAAAGATTAGATGTTTCTGTTCTTTTTATCTATATGGAAAATATGTGTTGTAAGTGGTAAAAAGTGAGAGATGACGGCACCTAAAATCTTCAACCAGTTAATAAAAGGAATCTGAAAGTCGAAGCTGAGCTTCCTTATTTTATAGGGAGAATGTTGACAACCAAATGAATATAGTTATGCATTTTGTCCAAAGTGTCACATGAATTGGTACTATCTGCAAGAAAGTGTTCCAGAACAGCTAACTAATGGTATTTATAGGTTGGCTTACCAAAGGAGAGTCAGCTAAATCTTCATTTTAATGTGGCATGATAAGGATTAAAATGCCCTGCTGTGTTGTATCAGTCATAAAGAGAATTTTCATGTTGCTTAGAAAATTATGATTAAAAAGAGAACAGTAGTTCAAATTGTTCGTCTAAGTGAGATTCCAGCAAGAGATACAGAAAGATTATGAGGCAGACTCCAATTTGAGAGTGAACTAATTGTTAGATTGCAGGTAGACTCTAGCGAGTTTACAATATAGGACCTAAACATTTTGGGGAATGTGTCATCAAGATGGTTGTCTGACTGTAGAGGTAGAGTAGATAGAGAAGAACTAGTGGACAGGCCCTGGTAAGTTTCTATGATTCAGATGGTAAAGAAGGGTAGGGGATTTGGCTCAGTGGTTCTGTTGCCTTCCTTGCAAGCACAAGGGCCCAAGTTCAGTCCCCATTACCACCAAAAAAAACAAAAAGATGGTAAGGGAATGCTAAATGTAAAAATTACAGAGAAAGAAAGTAGTATCTGAAAACTAAAGAAGTTTTTTTGTGGTGTTTGGTTGGTTGGTTGGGTTTTTTTTGTTTTTTGTTTTAATACTGGGGTTCAAACTTGGATCCTTGTGCTTGCAAGGCAGGTAGCAGAACCACTGAGCTAAATCCCTGGCCCAGTATATCAATTTTTGCATTCAGCTGTTTAATGAATTGTACATGTCTCTGGCAGTTAAAATTTTTTTGCAATGTGAATGAGAAAAATCTAAATTTTGTTACTTGTTACTATAAGAGGATAAAATGGAAGATTATTTGGCTTTTGAATTATTTGAACAAGAATGTTTTTGTGATTTTTGTGTCATCTTGGTTTTTTTGCAGGGCCCAGTAAATCCTTTAGGGCCACCTGTACCCCATGGGCCCCATGGTGTCCCGGGCCCCCATGGGCCTCCTGGGCCTCCAGGGCCTGGCACTCCAATGGGACCTTATAATCCTGCACCTTACAATCCAGGACCACCTGGCCCAGCTCCTCAGTAAGTTCGTGGTTTGGTTCCTTTGTTTTCAACAAAGATTCCAGCTTATGGTAAATACATACTCTTTTTAATACTGATTTCCCCCCGCAGTGGTCCTCCAGCCCCATATGCTCCCCAAGGATGGGGGAATGCATATCCGCATTGGCAGCAGCAGGCTCCTCCTGATCCAGGTAAAAATGTTTAACAGTTGTGTGTTCCTTCTAGTGTTTATCTGCCATTGCCTTATATTCTTAAACTTCTTGTTGCTTTTACATTTTTATAAAATGTCTGCTCTTTTATTTACTCTTTCAGTAATATTAGGCACTGCTTCCGTTATATAGATGTAATTTCTGCTTTTATGGAACTGTTTTATAGCTTTCTCTACTTCAAAACTGGTACAGCAAAGTGTAGAAAGCTACAGAAGTAACAATGTCTTAGGTTTCACACATCAGTACTGTCAAATGAATAGTGTGTTAGTGGTGACACGATCCATGGAAGAATAATTTACACTTACTGTAAATAACTTACGTGTCTCATCGTGGTAAATTACTTGGGTATTACATTCCCCAGTTTTTAAGTAAGATACAAACTCTCTTAGAATATTCCTGATAAGAAAACTTATGCATTAAAATCTTCATAATAATTGAATGCTGGAACTCTAAAATATATTAACTCTTTTCTCTAAGATTGGAATTCATATAATCTGTTATTTTCCTGCACCCTATCCTTTTTTCCCCACTTTTGTCAAAAAGGTATTCTTTTGAAACCAACAAACTTAAAAACGATTCCCCGTTTTACTTACCTACCCATCAAGTCCTCTTTTGCTGGAAGCATTTCAAAGAAGGTATTCTAAGGGCCAGGGATTTAGCTCAGTGGTTCTGCCACCTGCCTCAAAAGTGTAAGGACCCAAGTTCGATCCCCAATATCAAAAAAAAAAGAAGAAGAAGGTATTCTGAGTAATGGATTACTTTCTACGTGCTATATTTTTTAAAAATAACCCAGGTAATTGATTTACATGAAATTGTCTTCCTGAATTTGGTGTTTAAATATTCTAAAATGAGCCACTTCAAAAGTTTTCTCTGTGTGATGACCAAGGAGGGCAGTCACCAGATAAGAAGTGTCCACTCATTTAAATTAAATACACAGCATAAGTTGTATTAGCATCTGGTATATACAGATGACTCCATGTTTCATAGCGAAAGAATGCATTTCCGTTGCAAGCAATGCTGTGGTAGAGCTTGTAGGGTATAAAAGAAGCATTAATACTTGCTCTGTAACAATTTAAAAGTCCATTTGAAGGATGGAAAGCGTTTTCTTTCCCACTTAGTTAATTAAGGTGTCATGATTTAGCAAAGGAATGTGAGCGTCAAGTTTGAACAGGTTAAGGGGGGGATTTATATTGGGAACTGAGATGCCCTGGATTGTACTTAAAGAGAGCCGTTTAGGTTACTAAACCTTTGGGAGCTGTCTCCATGAAAAGAAGTAATGATCAAGTTATATAATGGTTGAGAATTTAGACCTTAAGCAGGCCTATATCACTCCTGGTCCTATAATTCAATTAAGAGATGGCGAGGAAGTTTTTTAATCCTTCTGGGCCTATTTTCTGTACAAATTGGTAATGAATACTCTGTTGAGTAAATAGTAAGTTGTCTGTCCATGTTATATGTAACTATGAAGCTAGTTTTGTCATACAGTTAAAATATAAAGGAACATAATAAGTATTGCTTCCATTTCCAGCTGCCAAGTACAGTGATAGGCACCTCTAATCCCAGCTTCTCAGAGAATTGAGGCAGGATTGCAAGTTCAGGGCCAGCCCGGGCACCTCAGTGAGATTGTCTCAGAAATAACAAAAAGGTCTGGAGCTCAGTGCTCTTTTGAGTTCCGTCGCCGTTGTACTCCCCCTACCATCATGTATCTTAATTTCTCTAGAAAGACATTATATCCAGCAAAGTAACTTACATTTATTAATATACAGGTAATGCTGCTGACAAATATAAATATCCTACATAGAAAAGCAGTACATTGAAGAACTGAGAAAGGTTTGGCAGGGGCTGGGGATTTAGCTCAGTGGTTCTGCCACCTGCTTCACCAAGCATAAGGTCCCGCGTTCAATCCCAAGTACAAAAAAAAAAGAAAAAGGTTTGGAGGGCAACTTAAGACCACCTTTGATTTGTATCATCTTTATTAAGCAGCTAGGAATCACTGTTTGGAATGAATCTAAGCAGATCGCATATGTAGACTGGTGATGAGGAAGTTATATTCTCTTGGTGGTACAAACTAAGATATGACTATTTTTATGTGACATTTCTATTGTAAAGGACAGGTTCAGTAATAAGACTTAATGATTTTCATAATCAGTTAATTTTTGAGTGCTGAGGAGATGCGCCAAGGGCAGAGGAAGCTGAGCATGACCCAAGGCCCAGCCTTGGGCGTGGTGGCTTCTGGGAAGTGCAAGGCTTAATGGGAAGAGACTGACAGGAGGGAGAGATGAGGCTGGACTAGAAGAGATAAACGAGGAGGTCCAGGTCATTAAAGATGTTGAGTGATACTCCATACTTAAGAGGTGTGACCATTTTGAAGAGTCTAGAAAAATAAATGCATTTCAAGTAGAGCAGTAACACGAAGATTATGACAAGTGCTATGAAATAAAATGAAAGGTGGCTTGGGCCAGGGATTTTTAGCTCAGTGGCACCGCACCTGCCTTGCAAGCATATGGTCCTGAGTTCAATCCCTGGTGCTGCAAAATAAATAAATAAATAAATTGAAAGGCAGCTATTCTGTAATGGGATGAGATACAGCTAATCTTTGTTTCTGAGGTTTTTAGTCTCTTAATTGAAAACGAGACAGACCGTCTGAAATTGTTTCTTGCACAAATTAGCTCCTAAATAAATCAGGTTAGAAAAAACAAAACAGTGGCTGAGGATGGTTAGTTGGAGCCCTGGATTTGGAGCCAGAAGATCTTCCATTCCTATCCTACTTTGGCTGCTCACTAGTTTTGCTACTAGGAAACTCCATGCCTGGACCTCAGTTTTCTATAAATACCATTGACAACAATGAAAATATTCAAGAAGTTTAAAGTTTTCGTGTACTGTTTTTGTGTGATGGCTAATTTTTGGTTCTTTTGTTAGCCCGGTGTGTGTGTGTCTGTAGGCTTCAGATGCAAACATTGAATTGTGTTTATTAATTTTAGCCAAGGCAGGAACGGATCCAAATTCAGCAGCGTGGGCTGCTTATTATGCTCACTATTATCAACAACAAGCACAGCCACCACCTGCAGCTCCTACAGGCGCACCAACTGCAACCCAGACGAATGGACAAGGTAACTATGGTAACTGACATTTCTATTTCTTATTCAAAAGCCTAGTTTGTGTTTATAATTATATAGGAATTGCGTACATCACTGTATAGTACCTAAAACTTCTGGCATAAGTTACTTTGGAATAATTTCCTAACTCTATAGAAAATTTTAAGAACGGGGCTGGGGATTTGGCTTAATGGCAGAGTGCTAGCATGCTTGAGGGCCCTGGCTTTGATTCCAAGCATGCAATTTCAAAAAAAAAAAAAGTTGTGAGAATAATACCAGAAAGACCCAGATGGCCCAGCCATTAATGTTTTACCCTCATTTACACCATTACCCCTCTTAACACGTATGTCCATACCCATTATCATTATTTCTGAAAAGAACCATTGAAAACTAAATTGTCGGCATAATGCCACGCTACCCTTTAAAACACTAACATATTTCTTCCACAAATACATAACTGCCATACAGTTCTTCACATGAGGTCATCAGCACTGCTCTCTACTGTCCTAGCACACAGCCCTTGACTTCTCCAGTTGTCTCAGTGTTTTCCCCCCTTTGATTCAGGATCCTATCTGGTACCATATTTAGTTGTCAGGTTCGTTAAATCTCAGTTTATTCCAATTGGGAATAGTTTCTGGTTTATTTTTGTTTATTTGTTTGTTTCCTCCTCCATATTATAAAGATTACCAACTTTTTTTTTTTTTTTAGATGACTATCAGCCTAGGTCTCCAGCCTTTTCTTTGTGACAATTTCTCATTATTGCCCACACTTGTCCTGGACGCCTGGCCCCAGTGATCCTTCCTCTCCCTCCCTAGTAGCTGGGATTACTGGAGTGTGTCACTGCACCCGCCTGTTTGACAATTTTTTAATGATCAGGTGGTAAAGCTTCCTTGGCAGGAACAACTCCGAAATGACCTTGTACTCTTAGTATATTATATCAGCAGATAGAAAATGTTTCAGTATTCCGTCCCTGGAGAAATAACCTTGATCACTTTATTAATTGTTGTCTGCCAATTTTTTGTACTATGTAATGTCACCATTTTCTCTAAAATTAGTATTAACACTTTTTTTCCGGAACATTAGACTAACACATTAGGATAACGCATTATCCTACTCTTTATCCAGCTCATGTACCTCAGCCTTAGTCTTCATTAATTTAACTCCTGCCTTATTAAATCACAATTGTGGTGATAATTTTCCATATCCCTCATAGTACCTTTATTAGTTAATATTTTGTATAAGGAAGAGCTTTCCTTTTCACCGGTTCTTTATATGATTATGGGTCCCTGTTTCTATACAGTAGGTTGTTTTTAAGCTTTTTAGTTCTTTAGTAATCAGATTACTCTAGATTTGACCAGTCAAGACTATCTTTAAGGTGGCTCCTGTATCTTTTTTAAATGCCTGTCATTTTTTAACCAATTCTTTATTGTCTGGCACATTAAGGACTTTTTATTGCTTTTGTTTTGATGTGTTTGTTGTGGAACTGGAGGTTGAATCAAGGGACCTTTTCACTGAACTACATCCTTGGCCTTTTTTTTTTTTTTTTTTTTCTGGTCAGCATTTCTTCAGGTCACCAGGTTACCCTGGAGCTTAGAACTTGTGATCCTCCTGGTCATGCTCTCATGCTGGGATTTACAGGCATATGCCTGGCTCCTGACTTGCTTTTCATGGAAGGTGGTGTTTGGAAACTAAACCGAGTATGTTCGTTGTTGCTGAGGTTGAGTTAGCTCCTTTCAGTGGGCTAACTAGGAAATACTGTATATTTACATACAGTACTACATGCATACCCACTCATATGAAAACACTTAAATGTCCATGTCTGTATGGGCATGCATGCATGTAAGTTTATGTGTATGTATACTACATTTTACAACCGTATGTTTAATCAGTACCATTCTAGCACTTAAAAGTTCTTTGCACTGAGGATATGGCTCAGTGGTAGAGTGCTTGCCTAGTGTGCACATGGCACCACAAAATGAAACTGGAAAGCAAGCTTACTTCTTGCCTTTTCCCCTTTTTTTTTACTCATAAATGGAGAGGAGCCTGGTATTCTCGGTGTATGTCTTTATCTGACTTTGACTTACTACAGACTCAATATATCCGTGTTCTCTGTTCATGGCTTCTGCACCCCCATTGTCTGTGTCTGTGTCTCTTTTGCACCAGGAGGGATGCCACTACAGTGCAGCATCTACCCTATCTCACTGCCCATAGGAACCCACGCCTAACTCCTACACTCAAGAAAGAGAAGGCCCCACGTTGCCTTTGAAAATTTTTAATCTTGTTTTTTTTTTCTTAAACAAGGAGATCAACAGAATCCAGCTCCAGCTGGACAGGTTGATTATACCAAGGCCTGGGAAGAATACTACAAGAAAATGGGTATGTTTGTGTGTGTGTGTGTGTGTGTGTGTGTGTGTGTGTGTGTGTGTGTGTACTTAAAAACTAAATGGAAGGAGTTAATAAATACACATTAGGAGTTTAGAGGTTTTGATAAAAGCGTATTTGCACTGTTTCTATTTGCTTCGATGACATCAGTCCATTTAACTTTATAAAATTGAGGACAATAACTGAATAAAATTATATTCTAAAACCACTGGACTTTGAGGCATACAAGAGCATTACAAACAGTAATTCTTAAATTTTTGGTTTTATAACAAGGAAATTCATTTGCCATTTAAACTAGGAATTTCCCCACTGGCATATGTGACATTCACTATTACTGCTCTCCCATAAGAGACAGTTACTGTATTACTAGCGTAAATGGCATAAGGTGAAATTTTAGAGCACTGAGCAAATGTTAGTTCTGTGTGGTATCATTTTTGGTGGAAAAAAGCAAGTACGAAGTAATCTACAGTTATAGTTAATAAGTAACACTTGAATACTGTATATGACAAGGAAAAACTACTCACCTGGGAGAGCCCTTAAACTAGGGTTTTAGAAGACAGCTGGTAGGAAAACTGTTGTAAATGAAAAGGCAAATAGAAATGTCTATGTTTAATAAAAATTAGAACTCAGCATGCCCACTCATTTTGGGCCTTGTAAAATGTAAAAGAGCTCAACCAAAAAAAATGTATTCTCATTTATGGAACACACAGCATGCCTGGAATACTGAGGGTACGATTATGGACAGAAGAGCTGGGAGCCCTGGCAGTTTGCCTGCCATATTACTGTAAATTGCTGTGTGAAACAAGCTAAACCTTCACTGACAATTGGCTCGTAGATTGAGAAACAGGTCACACAACTACTGAGTGATAGAATCAGAATTTTACTTCTGAGTCTTGAGTGCCAGTCCTGTCTTCCAAATGTATTTACATTTTCAAAGGATCGTTTAGAACTTGATATTCTTCTAGAGAGATACATATTTTTCAGATGCTTTTGCTCATACTCATTTAACAGTAGCACATTCCATGGCCAGTTGTCAAAAATAAAAGCTAACTGGATAAACTTGCCCATTTTCACTGGCATAAAAAAGATAGAATTTTGTCCTAAGATAGTCAACTTAGGATTCTCAGTGTAAATTTCACTATTCTCTTCCAAAGAATATGTCTAGGTTTACGCCAGAAGTTTTCAGGGTGATAATCTTTGTTTGTATGTAAAAGTATTTATCCTTTGTGGTAAAGGATTTCTACAAAGTTGATTTCTGTTTAAGGAAGCAAAAAGCTTTTTCCTTTTACAATGGTGTTCTAAAGAAGTCATGCTCCATTTTATTCCTACATAACATTTTTGTGACCTCGTTTTTCTCAGGCTTATATCTGTAGCAGCTAAAATTTCTAAAACGCTTAACTTTGACCTCAAAATAGTATGCTTAGGGGGAAAAAAGGAAATGAAATTTTTTTTTTATTATGTCAAAAAGTAAATAGTCTCTAAAAGCAAATATAAATCTTCTGGGGGTAAAAACCAGTATGCATAGGATATCTGTATTTACTGTCTGAACTGCAGTGCTTTTGAGTGAGGGTGCTATCAAAAATCATATCCTTGAAACAGTGGTCAGGACCGGTAGCCACCTTAACAATAATGAAATAGTGTCACCACTTTTAGAATTGAGTGTGTTTAAAGCACATTAGCTCCAACTTGTATTTTTTGCAATATATAATATATGCCATTAAATGGGTAAAAACAAAGGCCTACTAATAATGAAGCCAGGTAATTATTGTGGAATGGTTTGGCTTCTGTGTCTTATTAAAGCATTTTATTTCCTTATACCATGAGTGCTATTTTTTTGTTTGTGTGTTTGTTTAGCTCTTGCACATTTCACATGGCCCAGATGAGCGGGTATGTTACATTCTAATTTTTATTCAAGGTAGATATTTTCATTTGCCTTTTTATTTACAACCATTTTCCCTGCTAGCCGTTCCCTAAAATTCTAATCTGAGGTACTTGCCTAATGTCATAGATCCTTTATGTGAAAAGATGACATCGAAATAAATGTTTGACTGAAGATTGTCTTCCACTGTCTTTCCTGTTCTGTTTTTCTGTAGTACCACAGTGGTCACCTGTTATTTTTATGAGCAAAGTGGACTGGGTGGGAAATTCTCTCTTACATGTAAATCTTGAGGTAATTTAATTAGGTGTTTAATAAACATTTTTCATAGTATAGTAGCTATACAATTTTCTATAAAAGTTCTTTTTTGTAATTTCTTTAATGGTAGTTTTTTTCTAGGTGTGTTACTTGTTCTCAAGACCATTTTAGGATAACCACAAATGAGAAACTTTAAAGCATAAAACTAATGGATCATTTTTCAGATGTCTTAAAGGGAAAAAAAGTAATAAAATTGGAAAATAAAGTCTTTCCAGAGCCAGTTACTCTTTCCAGTGGCCTTATCAGCATTTCCTGATACTTAATTCCTCATCCATTGTAGGAATTATCTACTATTTACATATAGCTTACAGTGTATGTAATATTTCACTGTCGGAGCTTTTGAATCCTAACTTCAACTTTTCCTATTAATAACAGAAAACTCCAGTAGCAGATTGTAAATCTGCAATTGTTGTGTGTAAGTCTCTGCAGAAACAAATGTGTGTTGAATTTTCAAGATTAATTTTGAGACAGGGTCTTACAACTGTGTAGTCCAGATTCCAGGCTGGCCTTGAACTCACTCTGTAGTCAGTCCTCCTGCCTTGCCTCGTGAGTGCTGGGATGGCAGGCATGCACCACCGTGCCCAGTTTGAGAAATTCTTATAGATCAAATTCTAGATAGTTAAAGAAGGGAATTTTAAGTCATAGAAGGAATTGCAGCTAGTTATGTTTTGTTTTTTGAGACGGAGTCTCCACTGTGTAGTTGAGACTGACCTGGAACTCACTGTGTAGCCCAGGCTGGTCTCAGACTCAGCGATCCTCCTGCCTCAGCCTCCTGAGTGCTAGGATTATAGGCGTGCACCACTACATCCGGTTTAAAAGGGCCTTCTCTATCTGTAGATATCCACAAGAAAATAAACAAGGTTTCAAAGCAAAGAGAGGAAGTTCCTGTTTGGAGGAGGCTAAGTGAAGACATTGTAAGAAAAGTTTGATTCCAGGAGGACCTTTACAATATTAAGCAGTGGTACCTTCACTCTAAAAGAAGAGAGAATGAGGAACTGTGGAAAAAGAAGCTGGTGTATAGAAAGATGGTTTTGTAGGATGGTACATAGTCAAGCCAGAGAGTGCAACAGGGGAACTGTAGGACGCATCTTTTATCTGCTGGGTGAAATGAAAGTAAAAGTACACTGGTAAGCTGTATGTAAATAATGGATAGTATTCTGCTGAAGTAGAGATTGAGTTCTGGGATGAGAACAGTGACTAACTAGTCAGATGTGGTGCATGCCTGTAATTCCAGCTACCCGGGAGGGTTGTGAGTTCAGTGCCAACCTGGGCAACTTGGCAGAATCTTGTCTCAAAATTTTAAAAAGGGTTGGGGCTGTGTGTAGCTCAGTGCAAGGCCCTGGGTTCGACATTTCCATCCCTTCCCCTACCCCCAGGAAAAGCAAAGTGATGGATCAGTAACTACGGAAGAGGAATGACTGAGATACATACATGCCTGAAAGGGCCGGGAGGCAGGCGAGGAGAGAGCCAGGTCTCTGTTAGACTAAGCAGGAGGACCTTTCTGCTTTCAGCTAGGCAAAAATCCATCACACTTGGACTTTAGAATTAAGAAACGTGGAGTGAGTGTGGAAGGGTGAATGATTTTTCTGTACAATTAATGCATGTTGGAAATACAGAATGAGGTTCATTTTGGGGTGTGTGTGTGTGTGTGTGTGTGTGTGTGTGAGATCTTGATTATTTTTAATACATTAACCCCCTCCTTTTCCTCCTTCATTCATTTTATTTCTCAAAAAAAAATGGGATATTTGACTTTTGCCTCTGGCTTATTTCACTTAACATGGTATCCAGATCTGACCATTTTTCTTCAGGTTGACATGGTTTCATTCTTTATGGCTGAATAATATTCCCTTGTGAATCTAATACCATATCTCTCTCCATCCATCTGTTGACGGTATCTAGGCTGATTCCACAGTTTAGCTATTATGGCCTGTGCTATTACAAACATGAGTATTTAGGTGACACTCTAGTATGCTGTCTTTTCATTCTTTTGGGAATATACCCAGGAGTGATACAGCTGCATTATTTCTAGTTTTAGTGTTCTTTATTTTGGGGGTCTTTGGTGCTTTATTGTTGTTGGTTGGGTTTGGAGTGTGTGTGTGTGTGTGTGTGTGTGTGTGTGTGTGTGTGTGTGTGT